CTGTATTTATGTTCAGACTCTGTGACCCAAAGCAGATGACGGAATTCTTATCTAGGGATCCTATGGATCTAAAAACAAGGCCTTCATTGGTATTTTTAAGTCTTAAATCAATTTTTCTGAAGTCTTGAAAAATGGTGTGATTGAAAATAATTTTCTAGATAAAAATTAACATAAAAAAAAAAAGACTAATAATTTACAAAGCACGGTCCAACATTAACAGTGGCCCGATGGCCCGGAGCCACTATTTGAAGTTGCTAGCCATCAGTACAAATTCCATAGATAAAAAGGATGAAATCAACACATTTTTGCTTTTTTTTTAATATCTCATATTCCTCACAGAGAGGCAGTCACGCAGACATGCTAACCACTAGTCCACCATGCCAGCCTTGGATCATTTTGCATGTCGAAATTCTTTGAGCGTGCTATAAACAGTATTTTTCCAACCACCACAGAACCGAGGATGTGAAATTTCGAAGGGAATGGTCAAGGAAATGTGTTTTGCAGATAACATTACAGATGCAATAAGGTTTGGCTCGGCGTGTGATTGAAACAATACAGCAGCTAAGCCGCATTGAGCCCACCTGTTTGTTTTGCCGTAATTGGATTCTGCTTCATTCCATTTGCCTTAATGCTGATGCATAATGCAATGTACTGCAGGGACCGGCCATTACCGGGCTATGGGACGGGGCTTGAAGAAGTAACCTGACCCAGCGTCCTGACCCACCAAATATCTCTGCGCCACCCCCCCCCCCCCCCCCCCCCCCCCCCCAGCTCCCCTTCCTTCTGCCCATCTCTTAAAGCTCTGCTCATAGATTGATGAAGGAGGCTTGCGGGGCCTGATGGGAACCAGAATAGCAGGTGTTGGTTTTAGAGTATACAAGAACAATAAGCCGGCCCTTTGCAGCATGCTAATCCAAATTAAACAGGCACAGGCACAGGAATGGGCTGCATGGGCCAGGCTGGAGGGATCCTCACCAGAGATTGAGGTTCTGCGAACAAGACAGGCATGTAGAGCCAAAGCTTCATCTGTCTTTGTAGAAGCAACAACACACCCCAGTCATGCGGAGCATTCCAGACATCAACACATCCGGGCTTAGCTGGTGGACTTTTCCCACTAGGGTGGAGCTAAATTCAAAGAGTAGCTAGTCCCTATAAACATTTAGGTCCACATGCATGCATTATTTAAAAACAAACAAAAAAAAAACCTCTTGTAGCTCATGTCATGTTTTTATAACTCATTCAATGCAGAGCTTGTGCCCTGTGAACAAATGTCTAAATCTCCCAGCAGTTTGGCGTCACTGTCATCACGACAGAGACCCCTTCCACGCGCTCTTTGCCTTTTTTTTTTTTCCGTGGCAGCCCGTACTTCTCTCGCGAGCAGCTGCTGTCGCTAAGTAGCTCGTGTCGATGGTCGGGGCTCAGATCTGCCCACAACGATGGTGACATGATGAAGATAAGACATCTGGAGGCTGTGTGTGTACGTGTAAGTGCGTGTTTGTTCACTCTGTGTGTGCATCAGTTATAATAGTGGAAGATAAGAAGGACTAAAAGTGTGTGTGTGGGGGGGGGGGCGACCATGGCCAAGGTTCATTAGTGTGTGCTGAAATAATGATAATAAGGGCTTGCTCTCTTTTCGCTGCCGTGGAGAAGAGCATCTGATCTGCGCTCACCTCCCGTGCACGCTGACACATGACCGAGGAACAGATAAAAGCCGATGTAGCGACAACACTAACGCTAACAGAGCGCTCGAGAGGAATAACGTCGGAAAGATGGAGGCTTGATGAGCTGTGGAAATTTGGAGGAAAAAAATTGTTACAAGTGCACGTTTGAGAGGAAAACGGTCTTTAGGACCTTATATAACTTTACCAAAAAAATGCAAGTCAGCAGTAGTTTTTTTACTCTTCGTCTGTACATATTGGAAGTACTGTATACTGTAATGACCTAAGCCAAGGCCAAATCAGTAAATTGGACCAGCAATAAATTTACCACATTCCAGACTAGCAACAATCACCGCATACACACAGTGTGTTAGTTAATAAGTTCACCAGTAAAAAGTGTGAGATTTTTCATATTCATCGTATTGAGTCGATGTTATGCACATCAAGCTCGCAAACTTGTTTATAAATGACCCATAAGCAGGCAACGGCAATTAAAAATATGTAAGCTTGCGGACCGAGTAGATAATAACAGGTGGACTTTTATAGGCTATATATATATATATATATATATATATATATATATATATATATATATTGATTTCTATATTTAATAAGTACATGGCGGGACTTTCACTTAGCCACGGGATTCAGTTGGTAAGCTAACCATGTACTACTTATGTGCCACTTAACTAATGTATTTCGAATTTCTGAAAGCTTTTTACATCAATTGACATTTCATGACGATAGAGTGGACATGTTAAGCTAGCCAACATCAAGCTAGCCACGTGGTGGTGATGATGATGAAAGTTGTGAAGCAAAATTGTTTCTATTCATTCAACCAAAAATTGCTTCGGCCTCTATAGAAAGACAAAGAGCTTTTTTTTAAGCTCTTTGATCATGATTGTGTAAAGCCGAGTATCCTGCAGTGCCGGTTGCATAGAAAAGTACACGGTCAGTTGATGTTGATCAATGCCTTTCATTGCCGATCCCCCGCAGCTCGTAATGTGCAGCCAGCAGCCAACTCGAGACCAGCCTGTGCGCTGTGTTGTTTCCCCTCCTCCCTTCCTTAACACTGCACAAGTTACAAACCGAACCGGTAACTGAATCGTGTATATGTCTGTGCATTAAGAGAGGGAAATTTGCATGGAATGTGTTTTTTTTTTTTTTTTTTGACTACTCAATTAAAAAATAATTGTCCCATTAATTCATCCATTTTCTGAACTCCGTCCTCTCACAAGGGTCCATCCATCCATCCATTTTCTAATCCGCTAATCCTCGCAAGGGTCGCGGAAGTGCTGGAGCCTATCCCAGCTGTCTTTGGGTTCACCCTGAACTGGTTGCCAGCCAAACGCAGGGCACACGTTAGACCAACAACCATTTGCGCTCACACTCACACCTAGGGAAATTTTAGAGTGTTCAATCAGCCTGTAATGCATGTTTTTGGGATGTGGGAGGAAACCCGAGTACCCGGAGAAAACCCACGCAGGCACGGGGAGAACATGCAAACTCCACACAGGAAGGCCGGAGCCGGGGTGTTCACTCACACCTTCATTTCATGGCTTCTTCCATGGCCAGTGCTCCACCCTCATACTTTTTACGTCGCACCCCTCGCTAGCAACCAATGAGAAATTCAGTGGTCAGTGTGTCAGAACGGCGCGGCGGTGCTCTCGATGGCTCATTGTGGATGGTGACAGACGAAAGGAGAAGGTGACGCAGCTGGAAGGGAGACAAAAGGGAGGGCTGAGGTGAAAGTTCACCATGGAGGACATGACAGATCCCAAATGGTCGCCTTTCGGAAAACAGCCTCATCGCCTCATTATGTCAGCCGTGGAATGATCCGCACACAACATGAACTCACCCCATCTTATGGCGGGCGGGCAACGACGTAAAAGACAAAGTGCATGCAGAAGTGCAGCGTGGAGATAAAAAAAAAAAAAAAACTCTTGTTTTGTCTTTAAATGCAAGGTCCTGACCCAAGGCAGGGGTGTGTATTTTTAAAGCGCTCACCGTGATGGATGCACACATTGTGCTCTCCCCGCGCTCCGAGTGACATGTGTTTGACCCCCCACCGCCAGCCCCCCTCCCTGCCCCATCCTCATCTTACAGGAGACAACACCTGCTGCCTCACTACATGCCCATTAGTGGTCAACCAACACACACACACACACACACACACACACACACACACACACACACACCACACACACACTTTATTCACACAAGGGATTTTTAGAGCACTCTGTTGCCTGATAGTAGGACATGTAGCACATACTGTACTTTTATCGTGTATCTTTTGTATGTACACACAGAGGACACAACACATACACTTGAGCTCCGATGCAGGAGCTTTATACAAGATAATATTGTACTTTTTTTATTTTGGAACGTAACAGTGTACAAAGTGCGCTTTTCAATACGGCAATGAACAAAAAATGAATTTGAATAGCTAATTTCAAATATTACAAAAAAAAAAAAATCCCAGTTTTACGGAAATTAAATAAATTAGGTTGTAATTGGACAAGAATAAAATTGTGAAAGAGTAAAATTGTCAGTATGTGAAGAAAAATCTAATTGGCAAAATAAAGTTCTAATTTTGAGAGAGTAAAGTCCCCATTTTCATGAATGAAGTCATGTTTTTACAAGAATGGAATTTAAATTTTTGGATGAAAATCTCTATATTTTTTCATCGTTCTAATGAAAACGTTTTCTGCAATTTCATGTTTAATTCAGCATTAAATTTTCAGAGAATAAAGGCACCATAAAAACACTTCACCTCAAAGAATAGAAAAAACATTTGTGAGGGAAGCATTTTTAATTTCAAGAAAATAGTTATTTTTGATGAAGAGTCGTAATTTCCAATAATTGTTGTATTTTACGACGATAAAAGTTACAATTTTCCAAGAATAAAGATCGAGTTTCCATAGAATAGCCTTGTCATTTTCAGAGTGCCGTGACAATTTTTCAAGAATTGAGTCATAATTTTCCACGAAAAAAAGTCTTAATTTGAAGAAAACAAAGTCAGCGTTTTTCGAACTTTCCCAAGAATAAAATAAAAAATTTCTGAAATGTAATTTTTTTTTTCCAAGAATAATGTTTCAAAGAAACCTTCATTTTTTTTCAAGAATAAAGTCAAGACAAAATAAATATTAAGCACATGTAGCAGTTTTTAAATGAGGGGTTTTGAGGGTCTTGGTTTGGATACGGCAACTCTTTTCTCCTAATATTCCATTTCTTTCAAGTGTGGCCCTAATTCTCTTTCGTAAACTTGCTGGCCTGGTGCGTGCGATGCATCTCGCACTCCATTAATGCCTTCATCTAATTTGCATATGTTTTGTTTTCCAGCCTCCACCGTCGCGGAGAACGGCAAGAAAACCTGCCTGAAGCTGAAGGTTTTCGTCCGACCATCAAGTAAGTGCTCGACGAGGCTTTGTAAACGGAGCCCGTTGAAGTGCGCAGTTGGCGTGTTGAAAAACAAAGCGCTCGATGTCGTCTCTCGACTTCACCGACAAAGCTTTTTTTTTTTTTGGCCCGCTGTCCCGACATGCCGCTCTCATTTGTCTCCAAACTGCTGCTACTCGCTAAGAATATGTTTAAAAAACAAACCAAAGAAGAAAAAAAAAAAAAGCATCCAAAATATTTCATCTGAATGTTGCCATGAGCTTTGTTGCTTGACGTGTTGACTATCAGTGCTGAGAGGGGGCGGGGGGGTGGGGGGGGGGCTTCAATTGTCGACCTGGCGTATATCCACCTCTAATGATGATGATTTCATTCTCCCTATCTTCTGTTTATAGACAGCTGTGTGCGAACTATAGGTGTACATGACCGTGTTTTCGATGTAAACGACAAAGTAGACAATACGTTAGAACCACGAGGTTAGTATGGCTTCCTGCTTTTTTTTTTCTTTTTACTCTCTTCGTGCGTCTGTCCACAGGCCTTGTTAGTGCCACCATGTCTCATCTTCTCACATCCCCCGCATGATCTCCAACGCCCCTCACCCCACCCCCACCCCAGTCCACCATAGCACCATACCTCCGTTTATGCAACAGAATGATTTCATTTTGGGGTGTAAAATTGTAATCATCCTTCCTAAAGAAATTGGGTGAAGAAAATATGGAATGGTTGGAGCTCGTTTAACATTTCACACAATGACACTCTCCGATGAAATCATGATATTACATCCGGAAAAACAAACAGATTCATTTAGGATGTATTTTTCGAATTTTTTGAAATGGGAAGGGGGGGGGGAGAGATACACGACCTGATTTTAATTGGAGAGTGAAAATAATCTTCACAAGACGAACCATCACGTACAATACAGGATTTGAGATCTTGAACCATTCGCAACGCAAGATGAAGATGATTTGAAAGAAACAGCAGAAGAAATAAAAGTGGAATCGCATTGAAATCACATTTATTGCCATCGCACATGTCACGCGGACATGAGGAAAGTGGAAGGGGGTAGGGGGGCAAGGCTCCAAATAATGCTACTATAAGGGAGGGGCTGATCCTGTGTGTATTTTTTCACATTGATTTAATTTTTTTTTCTTAAATCAAACAATTGTAGAAAAAAAAACCACCGTAATTTTTATATTTAGAAAATAATATTTATACTTCCACACAGACTTTTGTTGCACAAGCATATCAACTAGTGAACCAATTGTGCACCCCTTATGTATACCGATGTACTTGTAAGAATGAAACGTGTCAACCCCCAACCGCATGCCCATAACGATCACACCAAGCGCTGTATATTTATCTCGAAACTCCACAGTAAATATACAGTCATTCATTTGACACCCTCAAACGTGTTCATTGATTCGTTGTCTCGTGAGCCTGCATTTTTATATCGGGACGCACATGCCGCAGCCGTCACGACGGGATATCCTGACTTGGGTTTATAATCGCATTGAATATCGACGTGAGGACAAGGCGCGGACGCGCAAAGGCCGTCTGACATTATTGATGCCCTACCTTCCTCTCTTTGCGCCTGGCCCCTTGCCCGCCGCCCTGTCGTGCCGGCCTCGACTTGTCTACACTTTGCATGCCTCGGTCCTCTGCTTTGCTTGCCTCAAAACATGAGCTTTTTTTTTTTTCAGTGCCTGATCACCCCTGCAGCTCACAAGCTTTACCTCTGCTTTGCCCCTTTGCATGCTCCTGCTCCTTTCCCCGCTCATAGAAAAGCGCCCACCTCGGAGAATAACGTACTTACAGTGGTACCTTGACTTACACGGTGCTTACGCGGTTTTCAAGGTAATAGGCGACACTTGGTTGATTGTTTTATTGTTTTGTTTGGGTTTTTTTTCGATACGCCCGCCGCTTGAGAAAAGTGGAAACAAAAATAGAGCAACGAAGGTTCTTTAATGCTCTCACATGTGGGCAAGGAGAGCCACGTGCAGTTTATTCAGGTTACTTAACTCATTCAGTTCCAGCCAATTCTGGACCAAGTCTGAAAAGACGTTTAAAAACGTCTTTGGGAGTGAATGAGTTAAAGGGAAAAATAACCCAAAATGTGTATTGGAGGGGTTTTTTTTGTTTGTTTGTTTGTTTTTTTTTTTTGTTTTAATGTATTTCATTCCCCCCCCCCTCCCCACTACATTTCAATATGCGTCAATTGTGGGACGGCCTGCTCCCTTACGTCCACTCCGTGATGAGCTTGCTCACCCAATGAATCAAATTCATCAGTCAAGGTATCACTGTATCCGTAGGACATAGCAACCCAAGTTCATATGGCAACTCAGAATCCGTAGTGTCTAATAAAGTTGTGAACATGAGCCAGTAACCCTGATGTGGCTTGATTATTGTTAGACTCCTACTTCAAATGACCAACAACTGAAGGCTCGAATGCTTTAGTAGTCAAAACATTGTTAATATTTGAACGTAAATGTATTCTTTTTTTTTCTTTTTCTCCCCCCCTCCGTCATCTAGACGACACCAGCCATGAACCCGCCGAGCCCTCCCGAAGTGAGGAGACAAACGCCGCGCCGCGCCTGTCCCCATCCAGTCAACTTCTGGCTTCACTGCTGCTCTGCCTGGCGGCCCTCTTCACCTTATAGCGCCCCCGCCTGTCCCGGAGGTGCAATTAACACCCAGCGTGGCCTGAATCTGCCCAAGGTTGCAGGGGGAAAGGGGCGGGATTTGAGGGCGGAGCTTGTTTTGTTTGATTGGGCCATCCCAGCAGGCTTCGCAAGGAATCCTTCAATTTTTATTTTCCCTCCCCCAGACGAAGTTTGATGTGTCTCGCCATTTGTGAGTGGCGGGAAAAAAAAAAGCGGAAGAGACAACTCCCCCTTACCCCTCGCAAACCTAAGATGCCAAATCTTTTTTTTTTTTGTTTTTTTTTCCTGACACTTAGTGATTCATATTTTCCCGCGACAGCGCTATACATTGTTTTTAACCAGCACACACAAACGCAGCACACACACACAAAAACACACACTCAGCAAATCTCGTCAGTGTTTCGTTGTTCTTACCATGTTGTGTTCTGTAGCAGCGTTTACAGAGTAGGAAAGTGAAGACTGTAGACTCTTAGGAAGGACTGTACATAACCGTGTAGGTATCTCTCCGTTGTGTTGGCTTCGTGTTCTGCTTGGTGCATCAAGTCTGATGTTTGACCCCCAGCAGGTCAAAACGATGAAGATGAAGGAAAAGGACTGGCAGTTTGAGAGCCAAAGCACTGGAAAAAAAAAAAAACTATACACAGCCTGCACCTTAACCTAATGATGTCCAGTTGTTTCCTAATTTAATAGTAACGCCAGATTGTGTCAGAGGAGGATAAGCTACTGTATATACATGACCAGGGATGGGCATTTGACGAAATTCCCATGAATGACGATGGGAGAAAATTAACAATCAATGAATTGCAATTATTTTTTTTTTTAATTCATTTTACTCTCAGCATGTTCTGAGTTTCCATGCCAGTGTTGTGTTGAGCAGAAGAATGCCACCTAAATTGTGTCAAGTAACCAACCATCAGTTCCACACATTGGACCAAATTTTCAATTAATCAATTCATGGATGATCATGCCCATCCCTAGTAAAACCCTAAAAGGTTGTGGTTTACCGTGTGTAAGAAAACAGAGAAATTTTAGACTCCCCGGCAGGGACTTTGCGGGCCGCTACTAGATGGAGGATCAATGTCTTTTAAGGAGTCGCAATTTCACGGCAGCAGTCACACTCATTTTGTGTTTACTGAGCTGGACAAAGAACTGTTCTCTTGGCGCCATCCACTTACGCGATACACTCGCGTCCATAATCCATATCCAAAGCTTGGAAATTGCTCGGCAGTGGTAATGGGTCAAATATTAGTCGCCCGGTTCGAAAAGAGGCGAGCTGCGGTTACACGGCACTGACGCGTTGCTCCGTTGAATTGAAAAAAAGCAATGCGCAGCAGGTCTGTCCTTTTGGCTTTACGGTGGTACCTCTACTTAGGAAATTGATTGGTTCTGGAAGAAATGTCTTTAATAGAAAATGTTGTAAGTTGTTTTCCATGTCAATGCCCGAATCTGTTCCAAGCCCCCGCCAAAATTCAGACATAATTGTTTTATACATATGTTTTATACATAATAAAAATGCATCAAAATATGGAACAAATGCGTGTTACAATTAGATGACTGCGCAATACATGAGAGTTGTGCATAATGTAAAAAAAACAAAGAATAGAGTAAATAAGAATGATGATGGTCATGATGTCATTTGACAATAAAGTTGGACTTGACTTGACTTGACTTAACTTTTAACTGCGTCCTCGCCGTTTTTTGCCCTCTTTAATTCATGTTCTCCCTCAGAAGTGTTTTTTGCCTGGCGTTTTATCACAAACCAATCCAAGGACGTTTGTTTTTGTCGTTTTTTTTTAATAATCCTTTGAAAATGTCCAAGGCAAACATCAGCATTGTGAGCAATCACCCGACTTTTTCTGGGCGATTCACATTTACGCAAAACTATCGGAACGCCTCATGGCCCGAGGGGCGATTGAAGAGGACGCTGCAAAAACACCATATGTCTGTCTATCTGTCTCTCTTAGCCAATGGGATGCCAGGATGATGCTCGGTAACAGCCAATGGCATAGCAGTTATAAGTATGCTGCGTTCAGGAAAACTCGGAGTTGGGACTAGCCACCCTTACTGTATTTTTACCGTTCGAATCTTCAAATTTCTTTCGTGACAAGAGGCAATATTTTCCTGTTGAGACATTTCATACCTTGGAAATTCCGTATGAAGTAGAGGTACCACTGTATATACACAGCACTTAGCGATACGCTCACTGTGTGTTTCATGACATTCAGCTTCATCTGGTTGGGCCGTGTTTTTCTCACAAGATTGAGAAATCTCCCCGCCCCTAAAAAAGTGACTTCCTGTCATGTGCCAAATAGGGCCCCCCGGAAAACAAAACAAAACAAAAAAAAAAAAAGTAGACGTCCGCTGTCGGCTCCTGTTGCCGGTTTAAGTGACTCTTTAATGAGGTTCAAAATGACAGGCACGCAGACCCCATGTTGCGGCAAAGGGGAGCTATTTCTGGTATTAAAAATAGACGGTGGAGGGCTTGAAGGAAAAGGGGGACGGAGGGGGGTTGTCGGGAGAAATGGTGTCGATTTCATTCATTGGTTATAACGCACCGGTGACCTTGCTGTTTGGGGGGGAAGTGACGAGTGACGGAAATGAAATTCCTAGGGAGGGGTTCAGGGATGTGATGTGGCTGAAGGTGGTCGTATAATTGATAAGAGTGCCCGGCGTGAAGTAAATAAATCAATACAAATCCATCAAACTCTTGTTGCAAGTTCAGTTTGGAATCTTTCAATCTTCAAAGTAGGAACATGGCTTCGGCCCACGCTAAAAAGAACAGATCAACACGAGAATCAAGTTATATTTTCTAAAGAAAATAAGAAACATTAAAAACAAATGTTTCATGACATTAGCCCTAATAAAATTTTTGAATTTAAAAAAAAATTAAAAATCCAAATGTTTTTTTCCTCTTAAATGTGCCACGTTATGACTTGATTCTCGTAATTATTGATCCTTTTTTTACATTCTTTTCACCCTTGCCCCTCATGCGCCTTCAAACAAAAGACATGCACAGTTTTTTGTTTGACTTTTTATTTTTCAAACCCGTCTGCCTTTTTACCCTATTGAACACGAACGATGTACATTTATTTTTTTCATTTGCCATGCTAACAACGTGTGCTAGCAACTCAGCTGTTGCGCAACTTCAGCCCACCGGATGAGGTACTGATGTCACCGTGGACATTGTCCTTTTTATCAGAAAACCAGCTCCACGTTGACCCTCTTTTGTGATAACCAATATTACTGCCTATCTTTTTTTTTTGTTTGTTGTTATTTTTGTTATCATCCTACTTTATTGTATGCCATGGCCTAACCTGGTAAATGAGGATCAACTTAAAAACTGGATACTGTGTATCCCGAGGTAGTCAACCATCAAACATGTCGTGGTAGGTTATAGCATCTGTTTTGTACGTTCTGGAGGACAAAAGTTAAAAAAAAAAAAAAAAAATCATTGTTAAAACTGTAGAATTATTACTGTTATGATAATGATTAAAACTATTATTATTATTATTAGGGAAGACTCCTTGTAAATAGTGTTTGATATTAAAGTATTCATTTGGTTCTTATGTCTTTTCTAAAAAAAAAAAAAAAAAAAAGAACAAAAAGGAGAATATGGTAATATCTCTGGGTTTTGCCGAGTGCTTTCAAGCAATGCGTTGCGCGCTTAGATCCTCAATGCCTAATATGTTAAAAGTCGGAGCTGTGCAACCTGCCAGTGGACGGACGACAACTTTCGCCATCTCTTCACGCGAGGATCTTAAGGACTTGCCCTCTTTTTTTGTGTGTGTGTGGAAAAAGCATGAGAAAGAACTGGACGGAATCTGGAAGGAACTTGCCGGTTTCATGATGTGGCATGCGCATGAACTTAATGACATGTAAAGAAGAAAAAAAAACGTTTTTAAAAGTTTAGGATTTTTTTTTGTTTGTTTTTTTTTTGCTCGTTTTCTTTTTGGTGTGTTCGATTTTTCGGCTCACATTCACGTCGTGCATTTTACTTTCCATCTCCGATCCGAGTGATGTCATGAAGCCTTGTTAGTGACGAGATAACAAACGTGCTGTACAAAACACCAAACGTTGTTGTGTAGTTGCAGTGGGGCTCGGCCAAGTTTGTTGTCTTCTTTTTTTTTTTTCGGGAGAAAGACTCTTTCTGATGACTTCGTCTCTTGTACTTGCGGCGCGTCTCCTCGGAGGATCGCATCAGTGTGAAGGTTTCTCAGTTGGACAAAAATATGGACGAGCCCTTTTGAGTTTGCTATTGTTTGTTTTCTCATGTGGTGCTGCCGCCGTGAATGGGAAGCGACGACCTTCTTTTTGGCAGCCGAAAGTGTTTCCCATGCCTTAGACGCTTTCCACCATTGTGCTTTGACACGTCAACAAAACAGGGCCCTTCACGTCCCCCCCCCCCGCCCCCTCCCCTTTTTAACAACCCTGCGCTCCTATCTTGTGTCGGCCTTAGATGTCGCTCCTGAGTGACCATGGAAGAACTAATACATCCACCTCGCCTCCAAACAACGAGGGGGTGAACTCATATCATGGATCCAGGTTCTGCGCCCCCCCCACCACCCCCATTCATGTTTGTCTTCTCGTAATCGTGTCGCGTCCACCTTATCACACGCTGTCCTTCCTCTTTGTACCCCGCGCTCACTTTGTCATCAGTGGAGCAAGATTTCCAGACCTGCTCTTTTACAGTATATAAACGAAGAAAAAAAAAAGTCGACAAAAATTGATCTGTATTTGTATATACACGTGTCTGAGCATCTATGAGTAATACAATAAAACATGAAAAACATGGCCTGCTGTTTTATTCACGCCGATGATTGTGATGATTCTTACATCTATTTTTCCTAACATAAATATAAATTGATCTTATATTTCATTCAGTGCGGCACGGTGGACGAGTGGTTAGCGCATCGACCTCACAGTGCAGAGGTCATGGGTTCGATCCCGGCTCCGGCCTTCCTGTGTGGAGTTTGCATGTTCTTCCCGTGCCTGCGTGGGTTTTCTCCGGGTACTCCGGTTTCCTCCCACATTCCAAAAACATGCATGACAAGCTGATTGAACACTCGAAATTGTCCCTGTGATTGTGAGTGCGGATGGTTGTTTGTCTCTGTGTGCCCTGCGATTGGCTGGCAACCAGTTCAGGGTGTCCCCGGCCTACTGCCCGAAGACAGCTGGGATAGGCTCCAGCCCGCCCGTGACCCTTGTGAGGATAAAGCGGTTCAGAAAATGGATGGATGGATTTCATTCAGCGTCAACCGCGCCGTGTCATTTAAATGTGCTTGGTGGGCTTGCACAGAGCATTGTGCATGTGACCATTTTATTGGTTTTACGATTGTGCGCCACCCATTCTGCCTCGCAACCACTAGCTGACGCCTGCGAGATGAATGATCGATGACAGCAGTGGAACCACAAACTGGCATGTCGTCCGCATCAGCGGCTGACGCCCTACTAATTATTTAGCATATAAAAACATCACAGATTGTTGATTGAGAGCATGTGTTGGCGTTTGTTCATTTTGTCTATTAGCCGGGATCTTCGCTGATGAGCATTTGATTTAATGGTGTCACAAAGTCCTGCGGTACTCCATCATAATCACGCCGTTGCGTGTGGCGCACACGCACGTGCCCTCCACTG